GTAAGGGTTTATTACACACCCACACTACGTCAGTACGAAGCGGAGGTATGGATGATTGGCGAGGACGTATCACCTCTTCAAAGCATTCCACCTAATGAAAAGGCATTCAAAACATTTGGATTTTGTTTCGGAGATTGCACAAAACAAGTATGTTTTCTCATATGATAATTTTTCATTAATTAAAAAAAATTGATTAAATACCATACTTTCAAACTTTGCAGACCTAAGAAAATGTATATTGTGAATATTTCAAATATACGACATTTGCAAAATAATATGGAAAAATCAACGATATTGTCTGAGATAAGCTAAAAAAATGAAATAAAAAATAAATATTTGAACTTTGTTAGTATGTCCTATAGAAAATTGAGCCATAACAATTTAGAATAAAAAGTAAACACTCTAATTTCCATCTGACATTTTTTCAAAGCTTATTTATAATCTGAAATATACAATTTAAATAAACTTTTGAAATTTTTATTTTTTCAAAATATTTAGTGTCATTGCCTAAATATATTTTTCCATCACAGTAATCCAGGTGTTTGGTAATATCTAATGTTGTAATATTTACAACTCGTGTAGGCCTATGAACATGTTAATTGTACTGTAGTTTATATAACTCATTCAGCAGTTGGACAAAACTAAGTTATATTTGTAGGTTTTGGAAGAAGACATAAAGATAATTGCAGTAGGTTTGCATGGTCACCTTGCAGGTATGCAAAAAGTTTTCCTACAACATGAACTCTTTTCCATTTCATTTAAGATTTAACATATCCGCTAACATATATAAAACATCAACAAGCTTGTATTTTCAGGTCTGTCCTAGTGGCATGACCATTGAACTTCTCTATGGCTTGCTTTATGAACATTTCAATATCATCAGTTTTTCCAGAACACAGTTGTAATGTTTGCAACATTCACAAAGTAGCGATAACTTAGGCCCTATAATATGCTTATTACATAAAAAGTACTCAAGGATCTTCAACTAAAACACATTTTTCTAAATCCTCGGCTCGCCTTACCTTTTTTTGTGTTGAACTTCTGTCTACAGCAGACTGCAGAAGGTGGGTTCGAATTCCGAATGGGTCAACCTTGTTCACAATTACAGACAACCTTTTTTTAAATTCCT